AAAAAAAAGAAGTGGTGTTTTGGACAGGCACAGTAGTTGATGCCTGGAACCCAGCTACTGAGAGGCTGAGGCAGGTGGATAGAAAGTTCAAGACCAGCCTCAGCAACTTAGTGAAACCCTGCCTCAAGATAAAGTAAAATGAAATAAAACAAAGGGCTCTCATTGGAACTGGACATAGGCCATTCTGTTCAGCACAGTTTTGCCCCTTATTTTGTTCCAGTTAAAGTAATTTTATCTACAGGCCTAGAGGGCCCCTTTAGTCCAAGTAACATGCTTGCTCATTAGGGCACAACATAAGCTGAACTAGGGAAAGATCCTGGGCTATAACTGGAATGCTCAGTGGAGGCCAGGCCTCCTACAGTAGGTGGACCCATGTGTCTAAGCTCTAGTTGGCTGAAGCAGTTGCTGGGCTGATTCCATTTTAAGCAAAATTAGAAAGTCAATGTGAACTGGTTATACTAGACTGCCTTCTTTAGGAAAAAAACATTCTCTCTCCTGATTCATCTTCAGTGTGCTGTTTCAAAAACACATAGTTATGGTGTGAAAATGCAGCTTTGTGTTAAATTTAATAAAAATGTAATAAAAGAGGAGTGTTGATTTATGGATGGTTCTCAGATATTGCGTAAGAATAAAGGAATGGAAGATGTACACAGAGGAATTACAAATCAATGATTGGGGCCTTAGTTTAATTTCTACAAATCTTTGCAGGCTATTTAATCAAGTGATACTTTATAGATCTGAGGTGGATTGGGCTGCTGAGCAACACATAATCTCTCCATAGTACCGCTCAGGGCAGACTCAGTTCAGTGGGAGAGACTTCTGGAGTGGAGCTGAGGCCACTCGTGATCCTGGCGGGGTACAGGCTGTGCAGAGCCCTCTTGCTCAGCCTGCTGCTTCAGGATTGCAGGTTAGCCAAGGCAAGCCCTGGTGTGGGAGCAAGCGAACACCAGCTCTGCCAACCTGACGTGAGACTGAGTCTATTTTGGCCTATTCCCTGCTCCCTAGATTCGAGGAGAACATTTGAAAAGGTAAAAAGAAAAGATTCCTTAGCCAACCCTGAGGAAGAGGACAGAAGCAGCGAGCACAGCAGTTTCTGGAAGTTGGGTGCTGTGAACGGCACAATCTGCCATCCCCATTTGTTGATCTTGCATGCCATCCTCCAGTTGGCACGGCTGCTGCCAGGAGCCGCCCCCTCCTTCTTCCCTCTGAGGCAGGGAAAGAGATAGCGTGGCAGTATTAACTCTTCCTGCCCTGCAGCCTAGACTTTCTTTTTCCCCACATCGGGCTTAACCCACATCATGTTAGGACCCACAGAGATGTTAGAGTCAGAGAATTTTAGAAGTGGAAAGGGCCCAGGGGAATTTCCAGGAAAAGAAAAGCAGCATCTAACTTACCCAGATTAGGTCATGTGACAGTAGGTAGAAGTAATTTGAATTTTGAAGAAGGATGGTCACTAAGAAAACCTGCTTTATCTACAGCCAGGATCGGTTCTAAATACTCTGCACAGATCAGCAGTGATAGGTGGCGGTGATTCAAGGCAGAGTAGCCTGCTGGGTTAGATTAAGAGAAAAACAAGCCCATTACATGGAGGTGAAGCAGCAAGTTCTAAGAAGAGGGAAAGGGGGCGGGGGGTACAGTACATCTGAGCATCCTTCAGAATATGGCGGTGACATTTTGGGGGTGAACTGATTAGTCCTAGTAATGATTTATAGCAATCAGAATGAACTGGCTATTAATTCCTTAAAAAGCATTTATTATCACTCATCATGTCCTCCCGGTTTTATTTAATATACATTTGTGGAAATGAGAGAAGAGCACAATCCAGGGAACATGGCTAAGTCCAAATGGTTAATGTCACTGTCACTGCCATCAAATGTGTGAGGGAGATTGCTGTCCTGCTGTGAGAGTCTCTGAATAGCTTTGTTCAGATGACAGAAGTGGGTCATCACTTTTAGTGGATTAGTTAATTTGTGTATGTAAAGCCTCACATCAGGGCCTGGCACATCATAAATTCTGTGTTAGTTGCTGTTACTATTGCTATTATTATTATTATTAATTATGATGATTTTTTGGAAGTAGGACTATAGAGTGTCTCATCAGAAAACAGTGAAGCATTCACAAAAATTTTGCTCACGGTGCTCAGCTTAGAAAATATAAAACAGAAATTTTCCACCAAGGAGCTCAATTCTTGAGAATGCTCTCTGTTTCTTGTGGGAAAGCTACTTTTTCTGTTGGGTCTGGCCCTAGGAGAAGCTTCCACCTTGGTACTCTCCTTCCAGAGCACAGGAGGCATTCAGGAATTACTTGAAAGGACTGTTGGGTTTATGGGAAGTGGGATTCCAGGATAACAATCAGATTGTGTGTGCTTGTTCTAGGTTCAAGTCCCACAGGCTCCAGCTTCTTTGGGGAATGGCTAGGTGATCAAAGAACGACATGGGGATGCAGGCCTATAATTTCAGTAACTGGGGAGGCCAAGACAAGAGGATCACAAGTTCAAGGCCAGCCTGAACAACTTAGCAAGAAGCTATCTCAAAAAAATAAAAAGGGCTGAGGATCTACTACTACCTCAGTAGTAGATCTCCCCTGAGTTCAATCCCCAATACTGTGGTGGGACCTATGTATTTTTGTTACAGTGGATTGAACTCAGGGTCACTTAACCCCTGAGCCATGACCCCAGCTCTTTTTTTGTATTGTGTTTAGAGGCTGGGCTTTGCTAAATTGCTGAGGCTGGCTTTGTGATCCTCCTGCTCCAGCCTCCAGAGCTGCTGGATTACAGGTGTGCACACAGTGCCCGGCCCCCATCTATACCTTCTTAAGACTCCTTTTGCCCACCCTGCCCCTCCTACGCATACTACCACGCTCTTTTGACTTTTCAAGGTTGAGCTCAAGTTCTTTCTTGATAACTCTGCTGATCCCTCCATAATGTCCTCTTTTGTAAACTCTTCTAAGAATGTTGGGTCTGTCCCACAGTTTATAGCCATTAACTAACATTTTACTGATAAGACAGTGAGAAGGTTTCCATGTAATACCTGAATTGTTACTCAATTTAACTTGTGCTTTGCCTATTTTATCTCGTTTACTATCACAATGCAATATTTTCCCCATTTTGCAAATGAGTTCCAAGGGACTCTGAGGTTGAGTCAAGTTCCTGTGTGAACCTAGACCCCCTGGCTGTAGGGCTGGAATTCATAATCCCCTTTGCTGTCCGGCTCCTTGCTTGGCCATTTTGGTCTTAGCTGTTTCCCCGCACAGGTTAGCCTTACCTTCTCAAATAGATTATAAATTCGTCAGAGCACTGTATCTCATCCTTGTTTACGATGTTGTGTGTTCCTCTAGGCCCCGCCCCATAGCGACATATATCTAAGAACTGACTCTCTTTCCCAGGGTGGAGCAAACAGCAGATCCTCCTAATTGGATGGTGGCTGTGATTGGTTGACTGCTGTGAGTTGAACCATTTCCAAAAATGAATGCTGTCCTGGATCAGCTCCAGTTCTTGCCATAGTGTTAGGCTCTGTCCTGTCTGAATGTTGGCAAATGGCTCCCAGCTGCACAGCAGAGCCTTGCTGATTCTCTGCCAGTGAGTGTCAGGGGAAACTTTTTTTTTCTTTTTCTTTTTTCCTTTTTTTTTTTTTTAATCTTTCAAGAACAAGAAGGAACAAGTTAGTATTGGCAGAGTAGTCGTAGGCAAATCTAAAAGTTGTCCTCTGCCCTTAGTCCTCCCAGTCTCTTTGCCCCACCCAATACCCTGCGCTGGGCCCCTGGAGTCCCACGTGGTTCTGTGAGCCTTGATGAAAATGTACCCGGCCGGTCATATTTGTCTGCTTCAATCAGCTGATAAGTACCAGTCTGATCCACAAAGTCAGGTTTATGGTAATCCCTTCTGGCCACATATTTGCATTTTAAAAAGAGATAATCCCATAACTGTCCGCAGGCTGGCAACGCCAAAGAAGAGATAACTAAATGACACCCTAAGTGGGAGGCAGGGAGCAGATAGAGAAAGGACTCCAAGTCTGGGTAATCCTGGGTTCAAATCCTTCTCCACCCCTCACGGGTCATGTGACCTGCAGTTTCTTCAGGACCCAGTTTCTTGCCTATAAAAGGGCACGATGCAGTGCATAATAATAAAAGTTGTCCCCCAGGCCAGTGGTAGCCCTCAATAAGCATTACTTTAATGTGGAGAACTTGCCTAGCCTGTGGGAGGCCCTGGGTTTGAGCCCCAGCCCCACAAAAAATGAAATAAGAGTCTCATCCTCCCAGATGATCTACTGGTGGGTAAGACTTTTACTCTGAGCATAAAGAAGTGCTCAGTGTCTGAGGGGCCCTTCATTTCGGTCTGTTTTAGTACTGCTTCAGTGCCATTCATGCAGTGGCTCTCAAATGGGGATGATGTTGCTCTGGGAGACAATTAGACATTTTGGTGGTCACTTCTGGAGAGGTGCTACTGGCATCTAACAAGAAGATAGATGCTTTTAAACACCCTACAATGCACAGGAACCCCCTGACCCCAATAACAAGTAATTATCCAGTCCCAAATATCAATAATGCCGAAATTAAGAATCCTGTTTTGACACAGTCCACTTTTGGGAAATGCCTGACTTTTGGAAATGGAGTGCTTCGGCAGGAGGTTAATTCTTAGAAAAAGATTTGGATGCTCAAGAAGTCTGTTAGTGTCAAAACTTAGAATTCCATGACACATTGTCCCACTCAACTTATTGTTCTCTAGGGAGAAAAAGGCCACCCAGAATTGAAATTCCGAAGGATGAAGGATGTGAAGTTAATAGGCCTCGCTGATCACATCAATCAGCTTGTATTCTTTTGTTGCCACCAAATCCTTTTACTCTCCTGTCAATTTGCACTCATCTTGGGAATCAAATACCGCATAAGTTAGTAACAGCCAGACGTGTTACATTTTACTGTTAATTAAATTAAGAGTAAATTAAGTATGACTTTTCTTTCTAATCACTTTGTTCTTATAACTCTTTGTCCTTCATTTATTTCAGGATCTAGTTATTCGTATTGTTTTTATTCTTGGCAACCTGACAGCAAAGAATAACCAGGCTCGGGAACACTTTTACAAAGAGAAAGGGAGCATGGAGACACTGCTCTCATTATTCCAGACCTTCTACCAACTCGATCTGCATTCGCAGAGGCAGGCACCTCCAGGAGCCGATCGGCCTGTCGCTCAGAGGCCACAATCAGAGGTGGAGGACATACTCATCAAGCTGACCCGTGTGCTGGCCAACATAGCCATTCACCCGTGCATTGGCCCAGCTCTGGCCACCAATCCACAAGTCGTGGGCCTGCTGCTGACCACACTGGGTAAGAGCCAAGACCCTAAGATGCTTCTGTGGCCAGGGTGTGGTGATGGCTTGGCTCAGTTTAACAAACCCTCTTAGCTGTGTGAAGGAAAATTCATTTTCTGGTCAGAACTGCCTTAAATATAATCCAGATTTTAAGAAATAGTAATGTAGATCATGGCTGAAATTCACCAAATCGTGAACTTTTAAAGGGTGAATTTTATGGTTGGTGAATTATATCACAATTTAAAGCAATTGTATCAATCAAATGAACAAAAATTGGCCAAACTAACCAGAGTTTACTTTCGCCCTGGTATACTCCTAAAAGCCCCGTCTTCAAATATAGTCACATTGAGGGTAGGGCTTCAGCATATGACTTTTAGGGGAACACAATTCAGTCCATAAGCATCCCATTTCCACTTACAAAAAAAAAAATATTTTGTGGTCCTGAATATCAAACTCAGGGCCTTGTGCATGCTAGGCACCATTTTATCTCTCTCTCTCTATCTATCTGTTTATTGATTCTGGGGATTGAACCCTGGGCCTCATAATTACATGCTAGGAAAGTACTCTATCACTGTGCTACACGCCCCACCCCCACCCCCCCAAGCCCTTTTTAAATTTTAAGACTGAGTCTCACTAGGTTTGCCCAGGCTGGCCTTCAACTTGTGCAACTTGTGATTCTCCTACCTCAGCCTTCCAAGTAGCTGAGATTTCAGGCATGTAATCAGGCCCATCTTCTGTTTCCACTAGGGAAATTAACTGCAATCCTGGGTAATCAGTTTAACCAATACTAACCAGACTCATGAAAGATTTTGTTGCTGTGGAAAAAGTTTAATGTTTGACAGATATGATGTTTTAGGGTAACATATGAACACAACCCCACCCCAGCTGTTCAACTTATTATCTGTTTATTGAGTCCTTGCTGTATAAGCAGTCCTATGCTATGTGTTGCAGGTTGGGTTTAGTCTTCTCAGACTGCTGTAACAAAGCACCATAGACTGGGTAGCCACTGAAACAACAGAAGAGTTCTGAAGACTAGAAATCCAGGATCAAGTTGCCAGCAGAGTTGGCATTTTGGAAAGCTCTTCTGGTTTACACTTGGCTGCCTTCTTGCTGAGTCTTCACAGAATGCAGAGAACATGCTCTGGAGTCTCTTCCTTTTCTAATTAGGGCACCAACTCTATGTGATTGGGGTCCATCCTTATGACCTCAGTTCCACCTCCTCACAGGACCTATCTCCAAGTAAAGTTCCATTAGAGATTAGGACTTCAACATAGGAATTTGGGGAGGGGAAGAAGACAGACATTCAGTCCATAACAAGCCTTAAAAAATGTAGGCTGGTGGGGCAGGGGTTGTGGCTTAGCGGTAAAGCACTTGCCTAGCATGCATGAAACACTGGGTTCGATACCCGACACCACATGAAAAAAAAATAATAAAATGAAGGTATTGTGTCCAAATATTTTAAAAAAATTATATATGTAGGCTGGCATCTGCTTTCCTGGGACTCAGGTTCTGTAGTGGAGGAGTGTCAGCTGTGTGGGCGGCACCACACCACTAATGAGAAGTTCCAGCAGCAAGGCGCAGATGAGGGCAGGTCGGCTGAGCGGCTGAGCCCTGAGCACAATGATGGGTGTGTAGTTTACACCTTGTGTAAGTGACAATGCCTTACTTTATAATAGAGCTTTATGGTTTATAAAGCACTTTTGTACCTACTACCTCCCAACACTGTGAGGATATGTTTTTATTATTGTCATTGAACAGATGAGGAAATTGGCTCTGTGAATATAATGACTTCATGGGTCACAAAGTTGCTAAGTGCGAGTCACTGAGTCCTAAATGTTACCTGTCTCAAAAAAAAAAAAAAAAAAGGAAAACATGCACACACACAGACACACAGACACACACACACACACACATACACACACATATTTTTTTGTTGTTATTACTGGGGTTTAAACCTAGAGGTGCTTTTCCACTGAGCTTTTATTTTTTATTTTGAGACAGGGTCTTAAGTTGCTCAGAGTGGCCTCCAATTTGCAGTCCCCCTGAGGTGCTGGGCTTGTAAGTGTGCACCACTGAGCCTAGCTCAAGAAAGGATTCTTAAATTCTGTCAGAGATCTGCCCCCGTGCCTTACCACTTCCATGTAATAATTTAAAAATCTACATATTTAGTCTTGAACTCTCTTCCAAGCTGCTGACTACACATAAAGCCGTCTGGGAGAAGATGCATCTAGCTGTTACAGAAATTCAGTTTCTGTTACAACCTCAAGCCTTTCAGCATTTGGATGAAACTTGTCCCTGTCTGCTGACACTCCTTCATCTTCCAGAGGATCAGTCACCCTGGGGGTGTGTCTCATCTCAGGATGAGAGATACGCTGCTTCAGAGTCAGTTGTGGGACTATTAAAATACCCTTCCCCAATTTTATACCAGAACTGACTCTAAACCAGGCATGGTGGCGCATGCCTATAATCTGAGCAAATCAGGAGGCTGAGGCAGGAGGATCACAAGTTCAAAGCCAGCCTCAGCAATTTAGTGAGACCCTAAGTAACTTAGTGAAACCCTGTCTCAAAATAAAAAATAAAAAGGGATGGGGATGTCTCTCAGGGGCTAAGTGCCTGTGTGTTTAATCCTTGGTACTAAAACAAACAACAGCACTACCACCACCACCACCAACAACAACAACAAAACAACAAAACAGAAACTGACTCTAGGATGCTCACTAAATGTTTTTTTTTTTTTTT